AAGTTAAGAACCTGTCACCTGCCTTGTAAGTAGTTATTACATTTGCCATTTTCCACTTATCTGGCACTAAGCCAGTTTGTAGTGATATGTTGAAAAGATTAGCCAAAGGTTTGCTAAGTTCCTCTTTACATTCCTTTAAAACCTTTGTGTTATGCCGAGTTCCAGCTTTCTAAAATGTAACTTTTATTTTTGTTCATTTATCTAATATTACATTGCGATTACTATTGTTAATAGCTAAAACGAGAGTAATCAGCTTTATAATATTAAATATTCATTATCATTTTCCCATTTTCATTATATGTATATATTTATATTATGAATTATTTTGGTAAGGAAATGGATGGTTCACCATGATTAACGACCAATTTATGTTTGTGTGGCCTCATCTCTGCATTACTCGCCTGACGCCAGCTGATGGCAGGGGTGAGTGGTGTGGGTTAGGCAGTACTTCACCTCTCTCAGTCTGGAGAAGATCCTCTCTACTTACTCCTTTACTTTGACTGAGAAGTTATCCAGCAGTATAACATTATTCTCTCAGTCTCTTGAAAGTAGAGTTTTGTAAAACTCTCACCAAGTAAAATCTCACCAGTGTGTAAAGAGATGTCATTTATTAAGCTTGAATCGTCTCTGGTTAGAGAGACCAGGTAACTTTATCAATTTCATAAGTAAATACCTTCATATCATCATAAATTGTAAGCCGTATATGATTAATTCTAATCGTAAATATTAAAAAGAGAATATTTAATGCAGTCTTTTCATCACCCCCATCACATAAATCCTTATTACGATTCCAAGAGTATATTCGATACCAAACATCTCCTATACTCAGGCCAAATATATTACAAATTCTAAGGTCAGCCGTAATACCTTGCAAACAGTTCATCAGGGTGTACAGTCTGTACCTGCGTGGTTGCTATGAGCCTGCCTTCAGTATTGAGTTGCAACCTGTAAGTCGTTCTGTCGTGTTGCGTTGAGCATAACGCAAACAGCAATTTTTGTTTAAAGTGAGTTAGGCGTTTATTGACTGAATTTACGCTGCAAAATTTGTCCAGATTATCTCTACAGCACTGCTGGCGAATTACTCCTTCGACTGGGACAGAGTATCAACAAACTCTTACTGCTGCACAGCTTCCTGAGTTATATGCCACAAATTAAATGTTGGTCAGTTAACATGAGGTAAAAAACTGAAGTTTCTGCTGCTACGGGAGATATTAATCACCTATCTCCACTGCAATTCCTTCAAAATGCTGGAAGGCAAACTCCTGAGAGACCGGACCAACAGCCATTTGGGGAAACGGGTGGTGAGTCGGGATTGTCTCTTTGTTAGCTCGTCAAGTTGGCTAACAACCTTGAGACGGCCAGGTAGCAATATGCATTCGATAAAGAGAGAAGTTTGACAGAGAGAAGGAGAGGAGACAATTTCAGCATACTTTTAGTTCTTCCTGTGATTCTTTGTCTCTTGTAAGATTCCTTAAGCTTAAGTTCGATATTTGGGAGAAAGTGAAAAATAAACCCAGTGAAAAGTAGACAAGCACCAGAGAAGCCTGACTAAAGGTCGGGCTTTGAGAGGACAAAAGTCTCCAAACTCATCAAAGCTTAAACAAAGATAGTAGAAATTTCTCATCATTAATCTTCACATCGTGTCAACACAATGGTTGAGGTCCGCTTGGAGTCTTGCAGTGTCTTTGATGGAGGACACTGCCATGACAATTTGGGTGTCGTCGGCAAAGAAAGACACGACTTACATCTCTGTCTATGTCAGATATGAGGATGAGGAAAGGATGGGAACGAGTACTGTGCCTTGTGGAACACAGCTTTTCACCGGAGCTCCCTTGGACATCACTCTACTTATTAATACTCTTTGTGTTCTATTTGTCAGGAAGTTATAGATCCATCTACAAACATTTCCTGTTATTCCTTTATCACACGTTTTGTGCTACTACTGCTACTACTACTACTACTACTACTGCTACTGCTACTGCTACTACTACTACTACTAATCGACTACTACTGCTACTACTACTACTACTATTACTGCTGCTGCTGCTGCTGCTACTGCTACTACTACTACTACTACTACTACTACTACTACTGCTGCTGCTGCTGCTGCTGCTACTACTACTACTACTACTACTACTGCTACTGCGACGACTACTACGACTACTACTGCAATATATACATACTAATAATAATACTACTACTACTAGTACTGCATGCTGCTCTGCTGCTACTACTGCTACTTACTACACTACTACTGCTACTACTACTAACTACTAATATTATTACTACTACTAACTACTGCTATTTACTAACTATATACTACTACTATACTACTACATACTGCTGCTGCTGCTGCTACTACTAATACTACTATATACTACTACTCACTGCTACACTACTACTACTATTTACGACTACTACTGCACTACTACTACTAATATTACTACTACTACTACTACGGGCCATGTGCTGCTACTACTACTGCTACTACTTACGACTACTACGTACTACCTACTAATATTACTACTACTACTACTGCGCTGCTGCCGCTGCGTACTATACTACTACTACATACGACTACGACTACCTACGCACATACACAATACTACTCTACTACTACTACCTACTACGTACTACTAGCTGCTGCTGCTGCTCTGCTACTAATACTATACTACTGCTACACATACTGCTTCTGCAACTACGATTGCAGAAGCTGCTGCCTGCTGCTCTTATTAGTACTACTACTAGTATTAATAATAATATATAATAATAATAATAATAATAATATATTATTATTATATTATTATTAATATTATTATCATTTTAGTTTTTAAGTAATGATATCTGAAATTGCATGTAAAACCAGAATAAACTTATATTTAATAATGCAAAATGGCAGTGGAAGAGCTACCATACAAGTTACTGACCTTCAACACTGGACCAGAGTACATCACCACGCCAGTTACACAAGTTACTGACCTTCATCACTGGACCAGAGTACATCACCATGACAGTTACACAAGTTACTGACCTTCATCACTGGACCAGAGTACATCACCATGACAGTTACACAAGTTACTGACCTTCATCACTGGACCAGAGTACATCACCACGCCAGTTACACAAGTTACTGACCTTCATCACTGGACCAGAGTACATCACCATGACAGTTACACAAGTTACTGACCTTCATCACTGGACCAGAGTACATCACCATGACAGTTACACAAGTTACTGACCTTCATCACTGGACCAGAGTACATCACCATGACAGTTACACAAGTTACTGACCTTCATCACTGGACCAGAGTACATCACCATGACAGTTACACAAGTTACTGACCTTCATCACTGGACAGAGTACATCACCATGACAGTTACACAAGTTACTGACCTTCATCACTGGACCAGAGTACATCACCACGCCAGTTACACAAGTTACTGACCTTCATCACTGGACCAGAGTACATCACCATGACAGTTACACAAGTTACTGACCTTCATCACTGGACCAGAGTACATCACCATGACAGTTACACAAGTTACTGACCTTCATCACTGGACCAGAGTACATCACCATGACAGTTACACAAGTTACTGACCTTCATCACTGGACCAGAGTACATAAACCATGACAGTTACACAAGTTACTGACCTTCATCACTGGACCAGAGTACATCACCATGCCAGTTACACAAGTTACTGACCTTCATCACTGGACCAGAGTACATCACCACGCCAGTTACACAAGTTACTGACCTTCATCACTGGACCAGAGTACATCACCATGCCAGTTACACAAGTTACTGACCTTCATCACTGGACCAGAGTACATCACCATGACAGTTACACAATTACTGACCTTCATCACTGGACCAGAGTACATCACACATGCCCAGTTACACAAGTTACTGACCTTCATCACTGGACCAGAGTACATCACCATGACAGTTACACAAGTTACTGACCTTCATCACTGGACCAGAGTAACATTCAACCATGACAGTTTATCACAAGTTACTGACCTTCATCACTGGACCAGAGTACATCACCATGACAGTTACACAAGTTACTGACCTTCATCACTGGACCAGAGTAGCATCACCATGACAGTTACCAAGTTACTGACCTTCATCACTGGACCAGAGTACATCACCATGACAGTTACACAAGTTACTGACCTTCATCACTGGACCAGAGTACATCACCATGACAGTTACACAAGTTACTGACCTTCATCACTGGACCAGAGTACATCACCATGACAGTTACACAAGTTACTGACCTTCATCACTGGACCAGAGTACATCAACATGCCAGTTAAACAAGTTACTGACCTTCATCACTGGACCAGAGTACATCACCATGACAGTTACACAAGTTACTGACCTTCATCACTGGACCAGAGTACATCACAATGACAGTTACACAAGTTACTGATCTTCATCACTGGACCAGAGTACATCACCACGCCAGTTACACAAGTTACTGACCTTCATCACTGGACCAGAGTACATCACCATGACAGTTACACAGGTTACTGACCTTCATCACTGGACCAGAGTACATCACAATGACAGTTACACAAGTTACTGACCTTCATCACTGGACCAAAGTACATCACCATGACAGTTACACAAGTTACTGACCTTCATCACTGGACCAGAGTACATCACAATGAGAGTTACACAAGTTACTGACCTTCATCACTGGACCAGAGTACATCATCATGCCAGTTACACAAGTTACTGACCTTCATCACTGGACCAGAGTACATCAACATGCCAGTTAAACAAGTTACTGACCTTCATTACTGGACCAGAGTACATCACCACGCCAGTTACACAAGTTACTGACCTTCATCACTGGACCAGAGTACATCACCACGCCGCTTACAGAAGTTACTGAACCAGAGTACATCACCGTGCCAGTTACAGAAGTTACTGACCTTTATCACTGGGCCAGAGTACATCACCACGCCAGTTACACAAGTTACTGACCTTCATTACTGGACCAGAGTACATCACCATGCCAGTTGATGTTGTAGTAGACGTTGCCAACATCGGTACATTCTTGCGGGGAGGGAGTCCAACACACTCTCACTCTGTCTCCCTCGAGATTACACTGGACGTCACTTGGCGGAACTACGATCATTAAACCATATCATTATAGTGTTCTACGGAACTTCGGTCATAAAAACCATATATATCACTATAGTGATCTATGTAACTACAGTCGTAAAACCATATATATCATTATAGTGATTTACGGAACTACGGAATGATTGTTACTTATATACCAGCTGTGAGCAATGATTATAATGGCACTATAAAACAGTCATTTTAATGTTATTTTGTTAGGAATTATCATTGTTTTTACCTACTGTGAGGGATAATGATCTTGACTCACGAAATCGTAATGACAAGATTGCAAACAAACCATACCGGGGTGGGGTTAGAACCCGCGATCAGAGAGTCATAAAACTTCAGACCGACGCTCTAGCCACTGGACCAATTGACTACAATAACATTCATCCAACTAAGTATATTTCTACACCATAGGAAGGCTAGCATAAGCACAAATGCAAGGTTTTACAGACGAATCTCCCACATTCGTGGTCACAGTGGTGCCTATGGCAACCTTCCTTTGGTGCAGAAATATATCTAGTTGGATGAATCATATTGTAGCCAGCTGGTCCAGTGGCTAATGCGTCGGTCTGGTGTTTTATGACTATCTGATCGCCCGTTGTATGATTGTATGGTTGTATGGTCGCCCGTTGTATGGTTTAAGAAGGGTATTTATTAGTGTGTATATATTTAATTCGAAATTGTTTTAAATTTGTTTCATTTTTGGTCAGGTGATTCCATTATGTGAGACACAGTTTGTCTGTTTTGAAAAATTTGTAAGCTAATTTTAAGTAGATAATTACACAGGTTTTTGTCTTCATTTACAAAATATCAATGTTTAGAAATAGTGTTTGTTATTACAACATTAAGAAGTAGTTTACTACAAAAAGTTTAACATACAATTAATATTACTTACCAGTACCACCAATTAAAGTATCTTGATCTTGAGATGGTGGTCCCCAGCCAGCCTCAGTTGCTGCTACAACATTTACACTGTATGTTGAACATTTTGTTAAGTTACTGACTTCTGTTTCCGTCACACTTCCATCAACACTGATGGATGAAGATCTTCTTCATTCTTAATGTTGATAGAGTATTGTATTATTACTCCTTTAACCTGGTCAGGTGGTGACCAGGTGACATGCAGTGTCTGTGCTGACGACGTCACGCTGGTGATCACTGGTGCTCCAGGTACTGGTCTCACCATATATTTCACTTGTTAATTGTTATATTATAATTTTTACATGATTTCCTATTTAACATATGAACTCTGTGAGTCACTACTCAATCAACTAATAAAAAACAAAATTCAAACTATATTATTTTTCCTCCACATCAGAAATAATAAATCTTATTTCGATTTTTTATCTGTTGTGAGATAAATATTATTTGGAACGAGATCAGACTTAACAATAATGTCTGAGATATTGCCAGGGATGAGACTAGTGATAATGTTTAGAAAGTAATGCAGATATTAAATTGTTCGCATCGCTATTGGGCCGTGCGGACGTGCTGCGCAGTAGCTCGTGATTGAGTTGGCTTTTGCGCAGTGGTGACGTGTACTTGACTCTGTGAAGACCTGTTTGCGCGCTCTCTAGAACTGAAGCAAGATGCCCTCCATCGAGCAACTTTACCAACAGCTTAAGGAAGAATTGAGGTTGGCGAATATGGAAATTCGGCGACTGACCGAGGAAAACAAAAAGATTCGGAGTAGTCCTTCTGTTTTGAGTCCTCAGGTCAAGAAGGGAAACTGGTCAGTGGCTGGACAGCAGGGAAAGAAGTTGACGATCAAGAAGACGAATGGAAAGGTAGAAACGATAAGAAGAAAGAGACTGCGTGGAAACTGTTGTGGAAACATCCAATACATTCTCAGTGCTACCCGACGAATGTGAGTCGAATACTGGAACGTCATGACGAAAGACATTAAGGAAGGTACGAATATTGTTGTTGTTGGGGATAGCCAAGTTAGGTATATGGATAGGGCGTTCTGCTTGAAGGACAGAGTAGGAGACAGAGAGTTTGCTTTCCTGGGCTGGGATGGAGGATATTGTTAGCCGTCTGGATGACATCATGAGAGGTAATGGAGCAATCCTATTATCTGTCTCAGTGCTGGAGGCAACGATGTTGGCAGACGTAGGAGTGAGGACCTGATTAGCAGGTATAGGTCAGCAATAGAAATAATTAGAAGTAAGGGGGAACCCTCTCATATGTGGTATTTTGCCAAGGAGGGAGTTTGGGAAGTGAATGGTTGTCCAGGGCAATTGGTGTCAATTGCTGGCTGGACAAATACTGTAAGGAAAATGCAGTAACACTCATTGACAACTGGGACCTCTTCTATGGCAGAAATAACATGTATGCTAGGGATGGGGTTCACTTATCTAGGTGGGGGGTGGGAGCACTGGCAACTGCAGTGGAGGAGCAGTTAGGACTTTAAACTAGGAATAGTTAGTGGTATGGGTTTTGGCAGGAAAACAGTGAAGTTCCAGTGTAGTAATATTACGAGTTCTAGGGGAACTAGTAATAATAAGAACGAGATAGATATTGAAAAGCCAGGGACCTTGGGTGATAAGGACAGTAATAGGTTTAGTAGAAAAATAGAAATGAGCAGGAAGGGTAAAGAGAAAGGAGAGTATTTCAATGTTTATTATGCTAATTGCCGTAGTGCTAGGAATAAGATGGACGAGTTGAGATTAGTTGCTGAGACGTGGTTTAATTCAAAAAGTCGGGACATGCCTGCGGAATGTCATATTCAGGGTTTTAAATTGTTCCAAGAAGATAGAAGTATTGGAGGGGGGTGGGTGGCATTGTATGTCCGAGATCGCTTGAACTGTTGCATAAAAACGGGTATTAAGTCTGAAGTAACACATACAGAGTCTGTTTGGATAGAATTTTCAGAGAGGCATGAAAAACTGATTTTAGGAGTGATATACCGTCCCCAAACTTAGATAGGGACCAAGGGAAACTACTATGGGGGAAATTGTTAAGGCCAAAAGGCACGATAATGTAGTAATTCTAGGAGACTTTAACTTTAGTCATGTTGATTGGAATTTCTTGACTGGGAATTTAGAATCATACGACTTCTTAGAAGTATTTCAGGATTGTTTTTTGAAGCAGTTTGTGACAGAACCTACAAGGGAAATAACCTGCTTGACTTAGTTATGGCAAACAATGAATCCCTTGTTAATAATTTAAATTTCAGAGGAACTGGGTGCTAGCGACCACAAATCAATTACATTTAGCATTGAATGGAAGTACGATAGTAGCGATAACTCAGTAACAGTCCCAGATTTTCGCTTAGCAATTACGATGGGCTTAGAGAACACTTATCATCTGTTGACTGGGTAACGAAGAGAGCTATCAATATGACAGTTTTCTGAACACTATACATGCTGCTCAAAGAACGTTTATCCCATATAAAGAAATTAGATCAAATAGAAATGACCCAAAATGGATGAACAATAGGCTCAAATATCTACTAGGGCATAAGAAAGGAATTTATAGGCGTATCAAAAGAGGTGAGGGTCATCTTATGAATCAGTATATTGACATTAAGAGGGACATTGAAAAGGGGATAAAAAAAGCTAAAAGGGACTATGAAATTAAAGTTGCTAGGGATTCTAAAACTAACCCAAAAAGTTTTTTCCAGGTCTATAGAACAAAAGCTAGAAATAAGATAGGTCCCCTTAAAAAATAACTATGGGCATCTTACTGACAAAGAGAATAAAATGTGCTTGATTTTAAATAATTATTTTCTCTCAGTTTTTACACAGGAAGACACTAACAATATTCCAGTAATTAATTTTTACAGTGGGCTAGAAGAAGATAAATTATGTAACATCACAGTCACTAGTGAGATGGTTGTGAAGCAGATAGACAGACTGAAGCAAAATAAGTCGCCGGGTCCTGATGAGGTTTTTTCAAGGGTTCTTAAGGAATGCAAAATGGAACTCTGTGAACCATTAACTAATATTTTTAATTTATCTCTTCAAACAGGTGTAGTGTCTGATATGTGGAAGATGGCTAATGTAACTCCTATTTTTAAAACAGGGGACAAGTCGTTACCGTCAAATTACCGCCTAATAAGCCTGACCTCAATTGTAGTCAAATTACTAGAGTCAGTTATAGTTGAGATTATAAGAAGCCATCTCGATAAGCATAGCTTGATTAATGATACTCAGCATGGATTCACAAGAGGCCGGTCTTGTCTAACTAATTTATTAACTTTCTTCAGTAAAGCTTTTGAGGCTGTTGACCACGATAAAGTATTTGATATTATTTACTTAGATTTTAGTAAGGCTTTGGATAGAGTTCCGCACCATAGACTGTTAAAGAAAGTAGCAGCTCATGGCATTGGGGGAAAAGTACTCTCGTGGAACGAGTCATGGCTCACTGACAGGAAGCAGAGAGTGTCCATAAATGGGGTTAAATCCGAGTGGGGATCTGTAACAAGTGGCGTTCCACAGGGATCAGTCTTAGGCCCGTTGTTGTTTATAATATATATCAATGATCTTGATGAGGGAATTACTAGTGATATGAGCAAATTCGCCGATGACACAAAGATAGGTAGGATAATTGATTCAAACGTAGATGTTATGGAACTTCAGGAGGATTTAAACAAACTCTATTATTGGTCAGAAAAGTGGCAGATGCAGTTCAATGTAGATAAATGCAAGGTTCTGAAGCTTGGGAATCCCCATAACCCTAGTACTTATAAGTTAAATGATGTAGAACTAAGCCATACAGATTGCGAAAAGGACTTGGGGTTATGGTGAGCAGCAACCTTAAACCAAGACAGCAATGCCTAAGCGTACGTAATAAGGCAAATAGATTTCTGGGATTTATATCAAGAAGTGTAAGCAACAGAAGTCCAGAGGTCATACTGCAGCTTTATACATCATTAGTAAGGCCTCACCTAGATTATGCAGCTCAGTTCTGGTCTCCATATTACAAAATGGACATAAATTCGTTAGAAAACATTCAGCGTAGGACGACTAAATTAATACATAGCATTAGAAATCTTCCTTATGAAGAAAGATTGAAGACTCTTAAGTTACATTCACTTGTTAGACGAAGAATGAGGGGAGACCTGATCGAAGTGTATAAGTGGAAGATAGGTATTAATAAAGGGGATATTAATAAGGTCTTGAGGATGTCTCTCCAAGAGAGAACCCGCAGTAATGGATTTAAATTAGATAAGTTTAGATTTAGAAAGGACATAGGAAAGTATTGGTTTGGAAATAGGGTAGTTGATGAGTGGAACAGTCTACCTAGTTGGGTTATTGAGGCTAGGACTTTGGGTAGTTTCAAATTTAGGTGTACTTAGCCGTTGACGTGTACTTAGCTCGTTGACGTGTACTTAGCTCGTTGACGTGTACTTAGCTCTGTGAAGACCTGTTTGTGTGCTCTTGAGTGGTGACCTGTACTTTGAGTGCTGACCTGTACTTAACTCTGTGAAGAAGTGTCTTGTTTGCTCCCGTGGACTGAACCAAGATGCCCTCCATCGAGCAACTTTACCAGCAACTTAAGGAAGAATTGAGGGCAGCGAAGATGGAGATACGGTGATTGACCGAGGAAAACAAGAGGATTCGTAGTAGTCCTCCTGTTTCGAGTCCTCAGGTCAAGAAGGGATCGTGGTCAGTGGCTGGACAGCAGGGGACGACGAAGTTGACGATCAAGAAGACAATGGAAAGCCAGAAACGATGAAGAAGAAAGAGACTGCTGTGGAAACTCCCGTAGAAACCTCCAACGCATTCTCGGTGCTACCCGACGAATGTGAGTCTACTACTGGGATCGTCACGACGAACGACAACAAGGAAGGTAAGAATATTGTTGTTTTTGGGGATAGCCAGGACAGATACATGGATAGGGCATTCTGCTTGAAGGACAGGAGTAGGAGACAAAGGGTATGCTTTCCTGGGGCTGGGATAGAGGACATTGTTAGCCGGCTTGACAACATCATGAACGGTAATGGGATCAATCCTATTATTTGCCTCAGTGCTGGAGGCAATGATGTAGGCAAGCGTAAAGTGAGGATTTAGTTAGAAAGTTCAGGACAGCTATAGACATGATTAGGAAGAAGGGGGGGCGCCCTGTTATATGTGGCATTTTGCCAAGAAGAGGTGTTGGTAATGAATGGATGTCCAGAGCAATTGGTATTAATTGTTGGCTGGATAAACACTGTAAGGATAATGCAGTACCATTCATTGACAACTGGG